CCCCCCACCAGGGCCGCCCCCCCCCCCCCCCCCCCGGCATCCTCCTTCTTTTCTAGTATGAAATTTAAATAGTTTCTACTACTTGTGTGCGTTTTTTTTTATTACACTTTGACCTTCCTAGGTCCTATAGGGGCACTATTAATAGCAATTTTCTTTCGTTTACAGACTTTAGAAAGGAAAAGCGATGAGGGTAATACAATGAGACAGTAAAACTAAAAAGAAAACAAGAAAAGAAAAAAAAAGAGAAAAAAAGATGAAGCCATCAAAGAGAAAAGAAAAAGAAAAAGAAAAATAAGTACCAAGCAAATACATGACCAATGTGGTTAAGCACAAAATACAAAATTTAAATAGTTTCTGTATTTATTTAGCACAATCATCAAATGTATTTCGCTACCAACTATCTGGTTTACACGATTTACTACCCGAGGATTTGCTATCCATTGATTGCTTTTCAGTTCTAATTGGTTTATTTCTAGAAAAAGTATAAGTTTTACTCATCAGGATTTACTGTCCGTTGATTGTATCGACGGGAGAGAGAAAAATGAATGAATACTGACTGCGATAACTAATACATTATCAGGAAAAAACAGAATTTCAATAAATATATAAAAAAACAAGAAAAAACAACCAATGTGTAAATAAGCAAAAACGAAGAAGAATAAATGTTTAATGTGTTAATAACCTTTAAAACTATCTAAGCCCAGCAGCGTTCAAGGATGATAGAATATCATGACCACCTTCATCATAACGTTACCATAATTTTATTAAATATTCATTTGTTACGACTTTATTTTTATGAAGTTTTCGAGCTGAAGCACCCATATCTTCTAGCAATCGATCAAAGTGTTAATGCTTGTTCATTTCTTCTCTTCGAAACAATTAAAGGGCAGTAAATCCTCACCCAAGAGCACCACTAATTGAAATAAATTTTTTCATCTAATCAACGGATAGCAAATCCTCGGGCAGTAATTCCTCGGGTGATAAATCGTGCACACGCAACTATCTATCGTCATAAAAGAACAACGTTAATTGATGTAATTCTTGATTATTTCTGGTTCATTTCTACAATGGAAAATTTTCTCAACTCTATACGACCCTCTTATTATGCTTAAAGCGCACTCCTAATTTAGATTGAACTTTGATTCCAGAATAATAAACAATCTAAAACATTAATGTGACTGTGAGTATGGAAATAAGTTGAATGCAGTTGAGAAATTTTTCCATTGTAGAAATGCGTAGCTTCCAAATTGTGACCGAAAATTAAGCCAACTAAGAAAAAAACGGTCGCAATTTGAAATGAAAAATTTTACGTTGATCTCATTTTTTATTCGATTCCAAATTACGACCACTTTTCAATTATCAATCAATCAATACTTTTAATTGAAAAAAAGACTACAGAAAATTATTCCTCATCACTACTATCTTTTATAATGTGAATGCAGCGATGAGAAGTAGCACGCAAAACTGTCTGAACATTTTCTGGCAATACCGGTTCATGATTATGAGTTTCATCCTTTGATTTTATAATTACATTATTTTTCAATGCTATAGAACGAGAGCACCATTTATTAGTGTAGGCATAAAGTGATGAATTGTTCCTATTTTCTCGCTTTAAATGAAATAAATAGTTATTGTATAGAATAGCCTTTTCACCTTTTTCGGTAGTTGACCAAGTAAAGTTCGTATTCATTGTATGGTATTCACTAGCAATCTTTTTTACACATTTATATATCAACATTGTCATTACAGCACAACTCTTCATCATATATATTGATAACTAATCAAGTAAAAATGGTCGCAATTTGGAATGGAATAAAAAATGAGATCAACGTAAAATTCTTCATTCCAAATTGCGACCACTTTTTTCTTAGTTGACTTAATTTTCGGTCGCAATTCGACCATAGCTGTATAAACGAACTAGAAACAATCATGTAATTACATCAACCAATGTTGCTCTATTATTATGATAGGTAGCTGGCAGCGAAATATATTTGATGATTGAGTTAAGTAAACATAGAGCAACTAGATTTCATAGAAAAAAAGAAATTACTGAATAGGCAAATAAGTTGACATAAATACAACAATATACTAGAACGGGATGGGATGGGAAAAGAGTTGAAGAATTTTGTCTAGTAGTGTAAAATATAGTATATTTATACCAGGTTTTCCATTTCACTATGGTCATTTGTGTCGAGCTTTATGTTGTCGATTACACGATTATTTTAATTCAAATCCACTATTGAAACCTTATCGTCTCAATCATCCTTTGATTGGACATACAAAATTAAAATGGAAAGAAGAAATCAATCGTAGTAATAATTCATATGATAGTCTAAATTGGAATATCAAAGAGAAAAGCATTGAGCTGATTGAACCATCATCGGGAAAACGCAAGTAAGAAGACGATTATTTGAGTAAATATTGTTTTTACGTTTTTATTTATTAGACCAAACCAACAACCATCGCGTTTATGTAAATCTCATATATTTCAATTATATAAGAATATCTATTCAACGGATAATAAAAGCTATGATCAAATGAAAAAGGCATCGATTACATATCAACAATGTAAATATCAAATGTTTCAGGGCTTTGAACTTTATTATTCTACAGGATGGATCTCAAAAGATCCATGTTTGTCGATGTTTTTGTAAATAAATTTACTAAAAAGATTTTTTTCTGTATTTGCTCTATTATGATGTATAATATATTGAATAGAATTTAGTTTCAGATGATGTCTAACACGAAAAATATAGCTACATTTGGCGGAGGATGTTTTTGGTGCCTTGAAGCTGTTTTTCAACGTTTGAAAGGTAGAAAAAAAAGTTTTATAAGCACGAAACAAATTATTTGATTGTTATATAGGAGTAGAAAAAATTGTTTCTGGTTATGCCGGCGGCCATAAGCAAGAGCCATCGTATCAAGAAGTGTGTACTGGATCTACTAATCACGCTGAAGTTATTCAGATCTCATTTGATCCACAAACCATTGCTTATAAACAATTGTTAAATGTGTTTTTTCATATTCATGATCCAACAACAAAAGATAGGTAAAAATAGATCTATTTTATTTTTAAATCAATTACATTTTTTTGAAAATTTTTAAGACAAGGCACTGATGTAGGTACTCAATATCGTTCTGTCATATTTTATCATGATTCAGTACAACAAAAAGAAGCTGAAATGTTCAAAGCACACTTAGCCGATGAAAACGTTTATGAAGATCCTATTGTAACAGAAATTTTGCCAATGGAAAATCATCCATTTTATTCAGCTGAAGAATATCATCAAAATTATTTTCAAAGAAATCCAAGTCAAGGTTACTGTTCAACTGTTGTTAAAAGTAAAGTAGATAAATTCATGGTGAAATTTTCCGATTTACTCAAGAATCAAATTTGAAATGGATTAGTACAAGCATATTCGGTCTATGTTGTTTTGTGAATGTTTATTAGATAATTTCGCTGTAGAATAAATTTACTAATCTTTAATTAATCAGACTTTTAACTGCATGTTGATTTAAATAAAAGATTGGAATCGTAAACTAATAAAAGAGTGTGTACTAATGATAAATCACTTTTGTAATCAGCTATTAGTCATGGATTAATTTTTATGATACCAACAGAAAACTTAACTTGATTCACTACAATGATTTTCATACAATGAATTTAAACAATGAACAAATGGTATTGTGAACGAGATTTGCGTAGTTCATTGTTTAAGTGTCAGCGTGAAGAACTTAATTTTTTGTAAAATTGAAACATGTAACTCAAAAGTCAATATTCAAAGAATCTCATTAAAATTCATTTGATGTTTTATATAGTGTCGCTAGAGCATTATCCAATAAATAAAATTTAAGATTCTTCATCACACGACTAAACATAGTCATGTTAATGGGAAACAAAATAAACGATATTGAAATAATTTCATGAGAAATTAGACCAACATTTCATATTTATTAGACTACACAACTTTTCATTAGATATTTCATTTTCTGCCAAACTTTGTGAGAATAATGATCACGTAGCTATTTCCCTAAAAGTATGCCGTTTTGAATATAAAATACATGGAATCCTTTTCTTTTTGGGTGTGTTAATCTGGTTTATATATTCATGATGAAATTCTGAAAGAAACTTGATTGTAGGCAAATGTTTTCTTTTTATTCGACAGAACATATTACGAAGTAGTATATGATAAATATCAATTAAATCTTTTTAATTAAACGTTGCTACTATCAAATAGAAGAATTATCTAAACGTTAGAATACTGTTTCTATTATATTGTTTCAGGGTATCACTGTATTTGTCACTCGTGTTCTCAACGAATAGACTAAGAAAAAAACAGTCACCACCAGAGCATCAACCAGGCCACTAGGCCTGCCTGCCTGTGACAGGCACAGGCCATGATCTTGAGGCCTGGCCTGTCACAGGCAGGCCAGGCCGAACCCTCGTCCAGGCAGGCAGGCAGCTTAAAAACACCAGGCCGCCTGGCCTGTCTCTATTCTTTATATATATAATTTTATTTTCGATATAAACATTTTTTTAATTGAAGTTGGCGCTAATAATCAGATGAAGTATAGAATAATGTATTGTGTTCATTGTGATTGATCCAAATGATGACTAATGTTCAGTTCAAATTGCGTAGTTCGTTTCCTTTCTCCATTCGCTCTTTGTGTTTTCATTTATCTGTCTTTTTTAATATTACTGATTATTGTTAAAACCTTTCTTATTGATTATTATATAGGTCTTTTTTATCGATTCTTAAAATCTTTACTATCGATTATCATCAAGTTTCTTATTGATTAATAGAACCCTAATTCACTCTCCCCCGACGACTCCCCGGGGATTTCTCCGGGGAAAATTAATGAAATTTTTTAAAATAAAAAAAAAACTTTTCAATTTTTTTAAATTTTAAAAAATTAAGAAGAATTTATTAGTAATTAGAAATTTCATCCATTTTGACCAGATAACTCCCCGGAGAGTCCCCGCAAAAGAACGAAATCCCTAGGGACCCCCTATTGTGAGTCCCCGGGGATTTGTCAGGGGACTCCCTGTCGTTTCTTTTAGGGAGAGTTGACTAGAGAATTCGTTCATTGATTGTGGTCAAAAATTCGTTGTTTATTATTATTATTTAGATCTTTCCTATTGATTATTGCTAAAAATTGTATTATCGATTATCATCAAGATCTTTCTTATCGATTGTTAAAACCTTTACTTTTTTCTTAATGTTATGCGATGCTGCCTCTGATGTATTCTTTTTTGTATGAAAACTTCGATAAGTAAATGCTTAATCTAGTCATATTAAATTAATTAAACTGGTTTTCTTCATTCTCAACATTAATTACATGTTTCTATTCTATCCTCGTAATGATATTAGCATTAAAAATAATTGACAGGCTTTGCCAGGCAGGCCAGGCAGGCCGTACAGAATGACAGGCAGGCAGGCCAGGCCGACCAAATTAGTTGACAGGCACAGGCAGGCTTGAAATGCAGAGGCCTGTCACGGACCGGCCAGGCCTACAAAAACACGGCCTGGTTGATGCTCTGGTCACCACCTTCAATATTAGTGTTTTACAAATTAAAACATCTAAATCTCTAGACTAAGAGTTCATCACGAATGACATGATAGATACTTGAAAATTTTTATATAGCTTCTTCATAACAGTTTCAATGTATTAGGAAAATTTCATGAAATTGAATTCTCATTGATACAAGAGTCAATTTTTGTGGCAGATGATATGCCCACAAGATTCGTTTTTAAAGTGATTTGGTGATACTTGCTCGTTTAAAACTTATACTCATAGTTATAACTTGAAATTTTTCATACTGTAGAAGAAACTATTTTGATGAGTTATTCCTTAAGCATTAAGATTATAGATGGATTGAAGTGAAAACAAAATATTTACATATTTTTAATATAACCTATGTATCACTGTCGAAGTTGCTAATAGCACTAAACCAAAACATCTTTCCATCGGAAATAACAAGTAAACACATTCGACGTATTATCAACGAAGAGTGACAAATACAGTAATGGGTTTATTAGCGTCCTACAATAGCGTCCTAATGATGATTATGAAAAAATATAGGATTGATTTACGATTATCGCTATCATATGGGACGTAAGAAAAGTCGAATTCGACTGTGGAAAAGTTAAATATAGAATACTCTTTACTTACTTTATCATAGATCATATTGACGCAATTGATTCAATAGCAAAAGAAAACGGGCTTAAACGTAATCTCGGTGTTTATTTATTTTTATCTGCCATTTTAATCATTGAAAAGAATTACTACATAGATCATTATTTTTCAAATTAGAAGACAATCGACATTATTACTTGATCATTGACATGCATTAGAATACATTTTAGTTTGTCGTATTAATGAATTTGCCTTTTGATTGGATCGTCTATTTTAAAGGATCAATGCCTTTAGAAAGTTCCAAATAACTTTATATGTCAATAAATATAAATCTGAGCAGATAGAGTAGCCCTATTTTTATATAAACGTAAAAAAACTTTTGAAATAAACATCGATTTAAATCATAATAATTTTATTCGCATATCAATTAAGTAGATTTAAACACTATGTCATTTTGTTTAGAAAATATTAATCAACGGTGAAAATCAATATTATTTGTACGCGATTTGGTGTCAGAAAAGAACGCACATCAGCAACATATTTCTTTGATTGATTATTGTTGACGTTAAGTACAAATGCTTGTAATGATTTCGACGATATATGTATCGATCATGAACAATTTCTATAAATGTGAATAAAATAAGGAAAAATCTAAAACATGTACATGCTAGTACAATATATAAATGATATATTATCCATATTTGACATTCAAATGATTGCTTCAAGTAGTTTTGATTGATCGATAGTATACAAAAAGATAAGTAAATAATCATCATATTTTGTGAATTATTTATTTTAGTTAACCTCCAACTAGTACAATATATATATCATATCATCTTTTAAATCGAGCAAGAAGTATCGGCAAGAAAAGAAATTCAGTCGTAAATAACGTTATGGAATTTTTATTATTACAATGTTGATCAATAAAGACAGAATTTCAATTATTGAAAACCAGAGCTAAATGTTATGATGTAACAGAAAAAATAATTTCCGTTATGATAATAACAAGAATAACATAATACAGTAACACAGTTGGTATACTGTCTGTTCAAATATGGTTTGATTCAGACACTGTTATAGTCTATGCATCTAGATATCCACCTACGCTCTCATTGGTGCTTACACTTGTTGAAAAGATAGGGAGAATCCTTGATTGCATCCGGTTAACGTCGGCAGGCGGAAAAGAAACAGATCGAATTTCAATACGACAATCATTATGTATTTCATTGAAGAAAATCAATATTTCACCATTAAATAGAATCAATCTATACAGCAAAACATACCACGCTAAAAGTTCTATGTAGAATTTTTAGATAAAAGATCATGTATACACGTCATATTTTGACAAAAACATCATCGTTTCCAATCATGGAAATCTGTCCATATGTCAAAATACACTGTTCTCTTTTCTTCTTCTTCTTCTTGTCTGTGTTATTTTTATTGTCTTGGGGGTTATCTAGTCATGAGGCAAGCATATATGACATGATAACCGGTTTCCCAATCATCATCGATGTGCATTTCTGTAACAAACAGAAAACAAGACAAGAACAAAAAAGAGGAAAAGTCATCATCATATTTTTTAGGACTAGATACACATATCGACGTAAAACATCTTTCTTCTGTTTGTTGTCGTATGCTTGTTGTTCTTAATATGCATGACGGGAAAGATCACAGAGAAAATTACTACATCTTTTTTTCTATATATCTTTCTGTACATGATCTTTGTGATAATCGAGCCTGTCTATCGGTTTTTTTTCCGGTGATATTATGAAGAACTAAAAAGAAAGGGAGAGAAAAAGAAAAAGAAAAAGAAAAAGAAAAAGAAAAAGGAAAAAGGAAGAGCTAGAATTCCCAAAACAACACAATAGACTTCGTTCGACAACTTCGTGCTTCTATTGCTGATATCCAACAAGAGAAGGAGAGAAATACGTCTTCAAAATAACAATTTAATGTAAGTGCAGTCTAACTTTTGATGTTAAAAATGAAAATTCTTTTCATATGAGCAGTTGTTGATTTATAAAAATACAAATTCCTATATTTTTAAAAATTTTCTACATACAAATTATGTCTTTGTTTACATACGGGTAAATAATGATACCATAGTAATTGTTGTAGCTCGCTCAATCAGTCATGTTCATTAGTATTGTATCCTACTTATTCTTTCTGTGTGGAACCCATTGTCGTTCCTACTAAAGCAAATATTGTCTATATATTGTTTTTACATAGATATATCATTAAAAAAATACAGATAAGATGCGTTCATCTTATGATTCATATTATTCATCATCTGCTTCTCTTCGCAATTCAAATCATTCATCTCCATTACATTCTTTGGACGCTGGTTTAGCACCATTTTCTGGTAGTGATCGTGCTGAATTTCGTGATCGTTATGAAAATAAAGTAAGAATTTTCTTCTAATCAAAACAGCACAAAAAATTGTTTTTGTCGACATTAACTACTCTAGTATGCGTGGCTTGAAAAAAATCATGTTAATCAAGTAGGTTCAACATATAAATCATTAGGTAAACAAGTTGATCACAAGCCATCAACATGGCGATGTGAAGATCAAGCTGAAACAGGAAAGTAAGTTGAACAATATTACTTTTTTTGTTTTATTTCAAAGCAAAATCATTTTCTTTAATTACTTGTAGAGAATTTTTACGGATTAATGATGAATGTGCTGATAAAATCTATGATATTCGTGAACGAAGTGATTTATCTCGTGAATGGCTTCTTAATGCAGATGGTGTTGCACCACGATTTTATCGATTAGAAGCTGATGCAGTAGGTTTAACTGTATTTTAATTAAATATATTTCATTCTCTTTTGTACTCTCTAGTTAAAAACTCGTTATGAATTAAACAATATTAAACGTAAATTAGACGGTATCAAACAATTACGTGCTCGTCTTTTCAAATAACAAAATTTCTTTTCAAATCATTATCTATAAGAAAATAATTTACTTTTTATTTCGTTTGTATCTAATGAGAACTGGTGACATCAAACGATCGGAGATCGAATTATATAAAAAGTTTTATTTGTTTTCGTCTAAATTCCTTTTCTTTTTCTTTTTCTTTTAAAACCTACCAAACACATGAGTGCTCAACAATGATAATCAAACAAGAGCAAAATATCAGAAGCATTCGTTTGTGTGTATTTTGTTGAACCTTTTACTTTTTTTTGTATACTGATTTTGAATGAACCAATAAAACACATACAATTTCAAATATGCATACATTCAAATAAATATCATAGTTCAGCCCGTTTTTATAAATACAAAATATATAGTTTATGATTCGATAACTGTTTTTAGCTATTTAGCCCGACGATTGTTAGTGCGCGTGGCTGTTAGACAAGATATGCCATGGCCACCTGATATGACAGCATAAGTAATTAGACCATAACCAATTAATATTGTTAAACCAAATAGAGCAACAGGGACTACAATTGAAACAGTGCTTGAAATACGATGGGTATCTGTAGTAACTCTTCGCCCTGGTAGAGTATGTGGTGGTACTGTTGAATTTCCATTATCTATTGAATTCTCAGTTGCTAGCTCAGCTAAACATAAGAAAATATTTAGAAGATATCTTGAAATCTTTTTATAATAAACAATTCATTTGTATATATATATATATACCTTTGTTAGCATCAATATAGTTAGACACCACTATGGAATCATTTGTATCATTAATTGCTCTGCCAATTGAATAATTGAATAAAAATGTAGCAATGAGAAAGAAAGTAAATAGTAGAAATTTCATTATTTTTGACTTCAACTACTTTAAAACGTAATCTTTGAGTTGATACATAAAGAATGTCTGTAAAAAAAAGTAACTAAGATGTAACCATTCAATTCAAACAGTACATATTTCATTTGATATGAATTTAATTTCGATTCGATAACTAGATGAATTTTAGATTCAGTGGTAAACTCACGACCTGCTCTTAAACATAACATTTCTTTTTAGCAAATGCCAAGTACTTAACAATCATATTTGTAGTACGAAATCCAGTTGATTGATCAAACTGGTAAATAATTGCTGAATTGAGTGTTTATAAATATCAGGGATTAGAACAGTTCATTGCATTGTGTACATTAAATACTTTCAATAAACATATCGACGGGGATGTTCAAAATAAAATATACTTGTAACTAATTCTCCTGCTATTTTTTAGCATATTAAGATAGTTTCAGCACAAAACCTAGTGCTTTTGCATGGAACTCTAATTCTGTTTTTATAATTTATTTCTTGAAACTATTAAATCACTATACAATAGATTCATCTTGCTAGATTAGAAAATCTAAATTTTATGTACTTTGAAATGTTTTAAAACTGATCATATACAAAACACGAAACTATGGCACGGTGTACGACGCTTGGAATTTTTGTATTTAGTTCTTTTGAAAGAAAAATTGTATGTTTTACTTTGTTTTCTAGGAAAGAAAAGCTAGTAAAAGTTCTTGAAGACATTTTTCAGGAATATATTTCTACAATTCACTTTGACCATCAATGTCTCTATGTTCAGACAGTACTGAAGCTATGAGATCGATCATAAACCTATCAAACAGAGTTCAACAGATTTTCTTTCATAAGACGGACCAATTTTGCTAACTAAACAATAACTCAACTTAAATTAAAACCTACAAGCATTTCAAATATATTTGAAATTATTTTTCCAACGAGCTACGTAGATTTAATTCTAACTGTTTGAAGGGATATATGTAATCGATAAGTTTTCTATTGTTTTTAATACTGATAGTGAATTTTATTGACAAGAAACTCGATCTGATTCCGATAATGTATCATGAAAACAATTGATATTCAAATGGAACAGTATATATCATAGTATCGATACTTTGTATTGAATCAAAATACTCATTCTAAAATGTTCACAACATCTGAATACACGAGTGACTATCAAGTAACAGTCCAGCTTCAAAGACATCGAATGAAAGACTTTTTCTATGCTCTAGTAGATTAAGAAACATTTTGTTGTAAATGCTAAAACTTCTTTAAACATCTAAAACTTCCTCTGTCATACTAGTGATATGTTACACTTAACTAGATACAATTACAACAGTAAGAATATAATAATTTTGTTAAACTATTCCTTTGAGCCTTCTTTTGATGATGAAAATTGTTGTTGATTTTAGTTTTTTTTGTGTCTACGCAAATTTATTCAAGAAAATAATTGAAATTGTTACCATCCTTGATGAACTACTTCTTCAGTTTCAATCGTCGTTATGTTTGTTCGTTTTTACTTTACTGACTATGCTATTTATTTACAATAGATATCATTAAAAAGAAAAAGAAGAAATATTTGTGACAAAAGATAACGATATTTAACATATCTTGATCTGGTGATGTTACATAAAAACATCTTGAAGTTTATTTACAATCAAACACTAATATCATTACTCTATTTTCTCAATCACTTCTATCGGATAATATTATCTCTGTTTGGAATTTTGAATCATATGTAGTTATTTTTTCTCAACGAGATGCCCCACCCAATGATGTCACTAGTAGCCAATAAATGCATAAACGTTTAAAGACCTCTACCGAAAATGACTATCACTAATAATTCATCATGGCCGATAATATGAAACATTCGACCAATAAAATCTGGATATTAAAATTGGATAAACTGGTGTATCTTTTGTCAAATAACCATCAATCTCGAAATACATTCAAAGCACCATTTAGCTTTTCTATTATCTATTTTGTCTTGATTATATTATCATCTTTCTATTAATTATAAAATAGAACAAAAATTAATCGAAAACATAATTATTTATTTCACAAATTTTATTTTGTATATGTGTTGTGCGTGTGTGTGTGTGTGCTATTGTTGATCTTCATTGGTAAAAAAAGAAAAAAGCCAAACAATCAAAACGTACTCTTTTGGATTTTCCAACAAAATGGCAGCCGGTACACATATGGCTGCAACACAACAAGCAGCTGATGATCAAGCATCATCACTTTATTTTTCTGGTATATGTCAAACAATATCAGTGAAATGTCAACATCGAAATGAAAATGGTTTATTAACTTGTTCAAGAAATCTTTATGTTTCTTGTAAGATTTTTCAATTTTTTAAAAATGATGATTCATTTTTTACAAAACTGTATTTTTCTCAAATATTTAGGTCCACACTGTCATTTATTGCTATGTATTGATCATATACATGAACATGAAAATTTATTACGATATGAAATTGAACAATTAATCAATGGTAAAATCTAAAAAAAATAAGAGATTTTTCTTTCTATTGAAAGAATCTCGAGTTCGTCCTTGTTTTATTTTATTTTATTTTCCTACTTAAATAGAAACAAATATTGTTAAAGCAAATATTCGTGCATTATTAACAACATCTCAGCAACCGCCATCGTCAACAACAGCTCAAGTACTGGATGAAAAACAACGTACACTATGTGAACTTCTAGAACGATGGGCAACTGTTGGTAAAATTTCAATGTCTCAAGCTGCACTTATACAACATCAATGTGGTTATATTAGTCAAACAACACAACAGCAAGCAGCAGTCGCATCAACAGCTGCTGTTGCTGCCGCTGCACTTGCTGCGGGTGCAACAAATCACCATGCAGCAGTTAGTCATCATACGATAAATAGTCAACAAAATGGTAGTAGTACAACTAAACTACCTTCACATCATCAACAACATCATACACATACTGCACATGCAACACATCATCAAACGAATTCTCATCATCATGAACGAACATCTCAACAAATTGCATCACCTGCAACTGTTGTTAAAAAAAGGCGAAGTGGAAAAAATAAAATTGTTACTTTATTAATGAAAAATGCCGAAGGAGAATACGAATGCGTAAGAAATAAGATTTTTGTTTTAAATATTATTTTGTATTAAAATATTTGAAAATAATCTTTTTTAGCCAAATGTTCAATGTCGAAAGTCTCTCAAATGTCAAGGTATAACTGCACACGTTAAAGCTTGTGCAGTTGATTGGCTAAAAGAAAACGGTCAATATCTTAATCTAAATTAATCCTTCTATAACTAAGAACAAAACAAAAGAAAATCAAAACGTCTTTTTTTTTTACATAGTTTGCTTTCTTCTCCACCAGATGTAATCGATTACTGTAGTTTTTTTTCTATGTACATTTTTTCTGTGTGTGTGTGTGTGAGCCTATCGTTTAACATGTATACATTGTTCTTATGCGTCTTCTAGTTCATTTCTTACAACACTGATATGTATTTCGAAAATAAAACAAAAAATAGCAAAACGTAACATTTAACGTCTCTTGCATTGATTATTAATATTTGTTTGTGTTTGTTTACTGTCTCTGCGTTTCTCGCTCTCTCTTTTCTCACCTTACAGATATACATATATGTCGAAATGAGAGAAAAAGAAAATCAGTTGTATTTGTTTGTGTGTATATTCTGTTGTATTAAAAGTTTTTTAATGCAACAGATGAACAATTAAAGAAATCTTTTTCTTTTCTAGATTTTCTTTTTTTTCCTTATATATAGATATATAAATAGAAAATGCGAGGAGCAACCAGTAAAATGTTTAACGATCATTTACATCATGTTACATTGAAAATTTGGTATAAAACGGGTTTAACTTTCGAAGAAACATTTCCATTAGAAAAAACAACATTTGCTGATGTGAAATGTTCAGCTATTAGACAATTTTTAATAAATAATAATAATAATAATAATAATAATAATAATAATAATAATAATAACAGTTTCTCGATCTATCGTCGATCGTCATCCAATACGAATGCAACTAGTCGATATAATTCGTCACATGACGATGTTGATAATTATAATTTAATATCAATTTCATCGAAACGAATGGTTGATGACGAAAAGACACTAGGACAACAAAAAGTGAAAGATGGAGGTTCGATTGGAAAACATGAATTCAACTGATAAAATATTTTTTGAATTTCGATTCTAGATGAATATCTGCTAGCAGCAAAACACATAATTCCTTATTCAAAATTTGAACAGGTATAAAAAGCTTATCCGTGCGAAACAAAATCCTTTATCTTTTCATCACTCATCACTAACTGAGATTTGAGATAGAATAGGATTAGAGATGTGAATATTCAGCTTAGTAATCATTGATTCAGTCTCATCAGCGAACATTGCATACAATTGGCGCCTAAATATTAGAAAGAACGGCTTGGCCCCGATTCGTCCCTGATTGGTCTCATACCCAATTCGTTCCATTTAAATTTTTCTTAACTCGTCCCTGTGTTTTTCTCAGCAACTCTCAACTCGTTCCTGATTGTCTGTAAAATAATATAATACGTTATAGAGAAAGAACTATTTATTATCAAAGAAAAATAAGATTACATTAAAGCTATTACTCTCTCTTTATTGTTATTTTCTAGACCAGTTATTTTTTCCTCGATTTTTTGTATATTGATGTCCTTTAAAGTTCAACACAGACTTCGAACGTTCGCTATATGTTAACTTAAACATGAGTTATTTGGTTTACTAGAGGAATTAAAGCAATTTTGTTTGTGCTCGCTATTTTCTAAGATTTTTTCGTACTTCAGAAGATCAACGAAACATAAGGTATCGTGATTAGTATACTTAGCATTCAATAGATGGGGGTAATCACGGCATTCCGAAAAATTAGATACCAATTAAGCATGCGACGAATTGAGATAAGTACACATTCGGAATGGACGAACTGGGTATGGGACCAATTAGGGACGAATCGGGGTGACACCAAAAGGAACGTCGATTCTTACTATAGGTAATACTTCAATGAACTCTGATGTCTGTGTAATCAGTACCCTAGTTGATTCTATGTCGATAATTTTCTCGTTCATAGTGACACTAATACTAAATATCTATGGATAAGATATGATATGTAACATCTCATTCTGGAGATTTAATCTGAAATTATTAAGAATAATTAATATTCGTAATGTAATTATGTTTTTCTTCTTTAATTTGATAGAGTCAAAGTTCTTATACTATTGATGCAGCATTAATTGAAAATCGAACACAAGATCTTTCACAATCGTCGCGTTTATTCAATCGAGATTATCGTTCTGCAGCTCGAACCGAAGTAAATTTGTGTTGCAGGTATAATACATCAGAAATTATCCAATTGTTTTCATTTGATAGTTTCGTACTGATCTCAATCGTATTTTAATAACTCTCATAGAAACTTCACAAAAATTACTTTGGTGTCATCCAGATGCAGAAAATATTTTCAAACAAGCTGAAGGTAAAAAAGAAATAATCTTTAGTGGGTTCTTTTCATTATAGTTAATTTTATTTTTAACAAGAATTTCTTTTGCGATCACCATCGGACGAATCAAATAATCCAACAACTACTGCAATGAATGCTGATTCTATAGAAACACGTCGCCATCAAATCAGTAAATTAGTCGAAATGGGTTTTACTGAGCAACAAGCACGAATAGGACTGAAAAGAACAAAGTTTGTTGTTTAACATGAAATTAAATCTATCTTATCAGTTATACTGCCTACTATTTTAGATATGATATTCAAGCTGCCACAGACTTACTCCTAAATCAATCGGATATTGGGAATGACGATGATGATGACGACGACGATGGAAGCGATGCTGAAAATCAATCAAATCGTAATAATACATCAGTGAGTATAGGAGAAAGAAAAACAATTGAATAATGAATCAATTTATTATTTTCAATAGGAAACTGTAAGGACACCATTGTTTTCACGTAATGGTTGTTTTGTATCAGTTCGAAAATTTCGACAACAAAGTTTTCAACCGAATGCAAAAGTACGAAAATTTAATTGACAATTAAAAAAAAGAGGTACTATCTTGGTTATTTTCATAGGCAATTCAATCATTGGGAGAAATTGGTTTTGCACGTGACGATATAGTTAATGCCTTACGAATGTTTAATAATGATAAAAATTTAGCTGTATGAAAAGAAAAACTTTCTTGATTTTTTTCTATTTAATGTAATTTGTTTTTAGTGTGAATATCTTCTCAGTGACAGACAACAACAACAAAATATGAATGATGCTGAAAATGAGCAAGGCCTGGACCCAAATTCCAGTATCTTTCAATCAATTATGCAGAATGCTATTGTTCAAAAAACATTGAATAGCCCAAAAACTTTCTTTAGTATATTAATTTATTCTCTTATGAACGAAAAGAAGAAGTCAATGGCCTCTCATTTTATATTCTAGTTATGTTACAAATAGCAGAAAATCCAACATCAATAACTAATTATTTAAATGATCCTGAAATAGGAAATATGCTTTTACAAATAAGTCGTATTTATCATGCAGAAAAAGAAAACATAAACCCATCAGTAAGTAATAGAAGTGATAGTGATCATCAAGAAGAACGTTTATCGAGAACGACCGGAAGCATCAGTGGAGATTTCGATGATGACAGTGATTAATATTGATATTTATTTATTTTTTAAATAAGATTATTTCTAGTATTTATTTGTTTATGTATTTTTTATTAAAGAATAAAATTGGTTTCATTTATATAAATATGTATATACGTATATAAAGAGAGAGAGAGAGAGAAAAAAAAACATGATTTACATCATGAAATATTACTTTCTTATGATTAACAAGAGTTATATGATAGATGATTATTTCGGACGCATTATCAAATTTTAGTTTTTTTCTTTTTAAATTTTCAATTGAACAAGATTCACTCGGTACGTTATGATTGCATATCGATATGAAACTCAATATGATCAGTGATGTGTACTACCATTTATTGTTATTGCATCTAACAGGAAGTGTTATCATTGTAAATTTGATGAAAATGCTTGTAATTAGTTACAGACTAAAATTCTACTTGGCAGAATAAATAATAAAGTAATACAATGATAAAGTATCATGCGCACAATAGGCCTTTTGCGTTGCTGTTGACACGACTAATGGAATGTAATGTACAAATGCTAAATGTAAAAGAGCATCAATTACGTAGATAATTATTTTTAAGAGTAACAGACAAAGACAGAAGTGAATTATAGACATCGATTCAATCGTAAATCTTTTTTTGTTTTTGTATTCAATCCAAGTAGTTTACTTTTAAAATAAAAGAATGAAATATTTTAATTAACTTCAGTGACAGGTACGTTTAATAAGCAACTGATAATTTTTTGTCTGATATTGACATAGATTGATGGCCTCAGAATGATCAGCTTGAATACCAACTGGGCTAATATGTACTTCATGACAAGTGAAGGATATACTTTTTTTATCAAGTGATATAATCTCTTATCTTCTAGAGTTTCTCAGGAAGGACTATTTATCAGAAAGTTTTAAAACATTCATAATCAGTAAGCCTTGGTAAGCACAACAAAATTTGCCATAAATTGAACATTCTCAACTGCTATGTTCTATAAAATATTTGATTAAACATTAACTTGACTTAAGTCGTCGTGTTCATAGAGACAGTACATTTTATCGAGCTAAACACGCTTTACGAGTACTGACTTTCATTTAGAGTGACTGATTTCATTAGTTTTGTTTACATAGTGACTTGCTGATCGAGGATTTTCTCCAATGAAAAAAGACAATTGATCTTAAGTTAATATTCAAGTTGCTTGATAAAATATGTTTCATCTACATACTATTAAAATAATCATCGGACATCAATAGTTTCAAAAACTAAAAACAGTTTATTCATCAACAGAAGATAAGAAACCCAATATTTTGTGTAGAACAAAATAGACCTTGTTTGTTTCCGAATATGGAATCAATAATTACTGTATAAAAACTACTTTTTTTATTTACACAGTACTCAATAAATAGTAATGCTTATCTTAAATGAAAGTTATCTAGCGTAGATGAATGCTTTTATTTTGTAAATAGAAATAGCGATTTAACTTTAAAAAGAACTATCTCTAAAACAATTTTTTTTTCTATAATAATAAGATGAATTTCAAAGAATGTTATATTTTCACGTATATTGCAAAACAAAATCGATATTGAACTGAATCAACTATGATAATTATTAATTTATGAATAGCTTTTCAATCAACCTGTATGATTTATTTTTACTAAACTATTTCCTACCTCTGTGACCGATATTTTTTTTTTGCTTTTCTTAAAACTATTAAGATGATTATTCACTTCACAACTGAATGAATAAATTTAATTAATAAATAAATTTTTATTTCATTACGATTTAACATTTTGTCGTCCTTGATCGATTTCAATTTAATTATACGGAGAGCTCAAACAGCAGCGCTCTCTACAATATCTAAATCGATTCAAAATGCAAATAACGTTGTACGATACCATGGTGAACTGACAGCGAATGGAACTGACGGCAATCATTTCTTTTTCTGTTGATTTCTCTTTTACATCGTGAAATGGAAGAAATTCTTGTAGAACAGAAACAAACTGAAACTAATGATACTGCTTTGGTAGTATCTGTCCCAGTTCCATCAACTGATGAAACAACAACGAATGCTGTACAACCAACGGCAGCATTATTAGTTCAGTCTCTTTTACAGGAACAAGTCGATGAAACTGGAGACAAGAAAAAGAAGAAAAAGAAGAAAGGCAAAGCTGGTCGTGAGAAAGAACTTGTAAATATTGATTTTGCCTAAATAAGATCAATTGATACTATTTTGTGTAGGAGCGTCTAACGAAAGAAACAAAGGATATTTTTGCCTCGCCCGAAAAACTAAATGCCAGTTGTGAACGTCTCAATTCAATTCTAAAAGATCATAAAAAAAATTTACTTGGTGTCTGCCAAATTTTGGACAAAGCTAATTCGAGTTTTTTACCATATGAGCAATTTCGACTTGGTAAAAAAATGATTTTCTATTAAAAATCTATTCAATTAATTTCATTCATGAACATAGTCATCAAAGATCGTTTACCGAGAATGACCCGTGAAGATTTATTTATTTTAATGAAATTATTTGAAAACGAAGGCTTCATTGGCTATCGAGCTATGCTAGATCAAGAAGTGGGAAATGGAATATTACAACATATTGTACCATTAACTGTTCCACCATCAAAAGAAATCATTCTTGAAAAGAAGCTACCAAAAGAATTAAAGCAACCATTTTATGAGCCCTTACAATTAAATCATCCAAAGTAATCTGACTGATAATTATTGAATTAATTTTTTTTTCTTATTTATACACATAGATATGTAACACTTTATTTTCGTCTTATTACATTCGACTCATACAATGCTTATCCAGGTCATATTCGACTTACTGTACCCGATCACATCAGTGTTTATGCTCTATCGAAATTGGTGATTAGTGAAACAGATCTTGCGACACGATCAATCAGTATATTTCGTGAGAAAGTTCGTTCGCGTCATGGTTTGCTCGATCCAATGCGTTCACTAGAAGAATGTCGACTGATTGGTACCTATAAAGATGGTTCGCATAATCAACAATTTCCAATCTATACGCTCTACTATGATTATTCACCAATGGAGCTACGCGGTGACTGTCCAATACTTAAATGTGATTATTATATAAAATGAATATTGTTCGGTGCCTTCGCTTGAATATTTCCTTAATTTATTTAATGTCTGATATAAACTACATAAATAAAAGTGAATTTCGTTTCATTTTCAGATGCATACAAGTTCACTAAATAGACAACAATCTGGTGGTACAGTCTTACACTCATTACATAGTCAACTATCGAATGCAGCTATTGATTATTCACCATGGATGAGACAACAAAGAAGACCGTTGAAGTCAGCTACAACAACAACAACAACAACTGCTGCAGGGCTTCCTCGTAAAGTTTCACATTGATTAACGAAATAGGATCTATGCATACATATTTTTCCTTAATGTTTAGCTTTACACGACGAAAGAAAATGTTCAGCTCGATGTCGACATTTACGGAAAGAACCTTCACCCGAGAGGTTTGCATCCGAAAATCCAGCTAAAATTCAATGGTTAACAGTACAATTAAATAGTAAATAGATATGAGTACATGAGAGAACTAAAAACGAACTATCGAAAATAATTTACTTTTATAGTGTATCGAACACGTATACAATCATTTATTCAACGTGAACATGAATTAAAAAAAGAGAATACGAAACTACGTGATACTATTTCTAATGTAGAACATTCAGGTCATGATACCGTTGCAGTTAATTTACGTCGTTTTGATCAATATAAAGTATTTTAAAAAGACACGTTTTCTGTATCAATTAAAATTAAATTTAAAAAATTTTGTTTTGTTCTTTTGTAGAAGACAGCAGCACTTGTTCAAACAAAACAAAATGAAGAGAAAGAAGAATTACTTGATAATATTGATCAAAAACGACAAGCCCTAGCTAACGAAGTTGAAAGTAAAATAAATTGATTTCATTAAAAATAAAATGTTTTGAAATATTTCTTATTTTTTCTTTATACTTAGTGTATGAAAATCAGGTTTTAACTCTTGAAAATCAAATAGGTGATTGTCAACAATTTCTTAAACAATTAAAAACATACAAAGTAAAAGAATTAAACAAGTTTATAAACTCATTCTTTATTCATGCTTTAGGATAGTGAATATCCTGAAAAAGAACAAGCACTTCAGAAATTAAATCAAGAAATCGATGAAACAAAACTTTTTGGTTCAGTATGAGAAGATTTTGTTTTCAAAAGCAAAACACAATTTGTTTGACATTTTTTCTCTACAGGAAGAGATTGATGAATTAAATCGTATACTTGAAAAGCAACACGAACAACATTTAGAAGCTCTTCGTCAAACTGCAGCACAATTAAAAGAACAACAAGCAACGGTTTGTTATTTAAAATAGATAAATATTGAAATAAATTAGTTAGATTCTTCATTGATTTACTTAGGCAGCTTTTTCCGATATGCATATGTCTTACTTACTTGTTGCACTTGACAATGATCGAATGAGAGAAGTAAAACTTAAGTTAATGTTTTTAAATTCTTTTTTAATATAATTCTTTTTAGGAAATAGCTATACAAGCAGAAAAACTTCGTCTATTAGAAATAGAATGTAAACACATAAAAAGATTAAATGCAAAATTAAAAAGCGAAAAAACTCAAGCATTTGATTCACGCACTTTATTTCCACATGTCTATCGACAGGATTCAATGCCAATGTATGTTTTTGCTTTCTTCGATCGCATTTGTCTTCCAATATTGACAAAAGTAGCTTAAGCTCTTCTCGTAAAAAGCACTTTCCTTATGAGCAAGCACAGTGAAGCGTCTCTATCTGTTTTTGCATTAAACCAAATGAGAAATATTTCTTTTGGCATTGTAGTCTTTGGTTTCTGTGGGACTAAAATATTGAAAAGAAATTAAAGATCAATTTATTTGGTAGTCTTTTATAAAGATGTTTTTTGTTTAAAAACTAATTAACTCAAATATTTATCTTATTACTATGAATTATTATCAACAATAACTAATTCTAGAACATAATTTGAACGTTTTAAACAAATTTTCTAATAGTATTGTTTTCTTTTTCTAAATTTTAGTTGTACACCAGATATGGATGTTGTAATTGATTTTCCGGAACGACAAAGCCCATTGCCTATTTAAAACTGATATAATGTGACTTCGAGATTTGTTTACCGGTGCACTCACATAAAACTTGAAATTCTTTTTATTATCTTGTCTTTAAACTATTGTTCTTATTTACATGTAAATTTATTTGTTATAACAATAATATATACATTGGCGATACTACGGATGATGAGTAAAGACAAGGAACAACAGAGAAAAATTTAATTGATTTGGTTGACATCCATTTCGGCTCATCGGTTTTTCTTTTCTTCATCTCAGATCTTTAATCGATGTGCTCATTTTTTCCGTTCTTCTATATACTTTCATCTTATAATTTATTTGCTTGTGTTGTACACTGAGACTTTGTCTGTCTATCATCTATCAACATATTCATCAAGATATTATTAGTAGAAGTCAACAATAATTCACCAAAATGCTAAGGAAAAAAAGGTGATGGTGATCAGCATAATAAGGCATAGAAGAGAGAGGGAGGGGAGCGGAAGAGAGAGAGAAAGATAGACATAAAGGAAAAGAGCAAGAAGAAATAGTGTCACTAGATTTTCTCTCCAGAAGAAACAGAACAAAAAAGAAGTTCTTTCTCTTTTCGTCTCCTTCCACGCAATGTCCGGGTACCGTTTAAACGATTTTGAACGAGTCAAACATACTCAAACAAATTGACGCTCCATATACAATATATTAATGCTTACCTATTGATAACAACAATAATAATTGCAGTGCCTAAAAATTACAATCGAAATCGAAAGAAAAACAATTATTTGAAATCATGTCTCGAAATAATCGATCGAGCAGCTCAAGACCTTTCTGTAAGTAAATCTTTATTTAATTCAAGAGAATCAACGGGAAAAATTGATCATGACAAGCAATAATAATAGTAATTCAGGAGAAACATGATCTATGTCAATTCAATTAGAAAATTGTTCTTTTTTTCTTATTACTTCAAATGTACCGTGGCTATAAATGACTAATTCTATAAACAATCATTAAATATGATTGTTCGCAGAAAACTATACAGATGAGTCTCTATTGTTCTGTCTTGTTTCGCATCATTTCATCTAACACGATAAGTCCAACGAATTATATTCACTCGATTATCATCTTAGACTAATGTTACAATTAACATGTGATTACTTATCTATATTGCTGATAGATAACGAATGACAGTGTTCGTATGCGACTTACTGATTTTGCTGCTCTTGCCTTTTATTATCTACATGCCTGTCAGGAAACAATAATACATCCGGTCTTATTGTAAACGTGTACAGTAAAATAATGACTTCCGCTATGAATACTTATGTGTATATAAACAGACCTTTGTCTTTCGTAAATTTAGTTGCATATACCATATGAGTAAATGAGCGATCTGTCAAATGCATGGTTGCGTTTTTCCTTCTTTCGTTCTTTTGATTTATTTCAAAATAAAGTTCCTTTTTATGTGCGAATTTTCCCGTTGTTTTGTTCGCGTGTAGAATTCTATAGAAAAGATCGTTTGTTGATCAATCAGTCTCCATTATTTCATATGTATTCCGACATCAATAGAAAAAAATCGATACTGAGAATATTACATACTAATGAATCAATACATAGTAATATAGGGTCGTTTATTATGCATTGTGAAAAATTCACAAAAGGTTTCTTTTTTTTACTTTTTCTTTTGTTAACCAATAAATGAAACAATAGAGATTGTTGTCACATCAATGTCGATTCAAGCTGACAAACGCCAACGTCACCATTAGTCATTTCTTCTTGAAAATTCATCTACTTTTTAATACAGCATGGTGTTGAATAATTAGATAAAATGTAAAAACCCTTTTCCTGCTTGTATAGACTTCTTGCATTATGAAAGAAGAATAAGAGCAAACGAAAGAACTCTGAAACATAGTTATTCCTGTAATGTGCCGCCCGCATAACTTGTATTATCAATGCGACGCATCTGTCTTTTCTATATGAGAATAACCTTGCATATGTAGTGGAAATTAATCAATAAGATACTGTTATTTATTGTACAAATCGAAATCAACTAATAAAGAACAAGCTTTGAACACAAAGATCCATGTTTTATTCTGTTTTTCTTTGCGTATTCCGTTTCGAGAATAATTTGATGTTTATTCGATCAGTGCCTATCGTAATAGTTACAAGTCTCTAACCTTGTCAAACAGAAACGTATTAACGACTAAAACGCTTCTATTATAACGTATTATGTCAATGCGAATTTCACCACATGTATTGCCCCGACTTATGGCAACAGCCAACAGAAATATACACTTTGGGAATAAAAATAAGATCAATTTTTTCTTCTTGCTTGTTAATGACATCTCAGTTTTCTTGTACTTCATCATAGATCGAGTCAAAGTAATTAATGGGGTGCAACCTCCATTAATACTGGAAAGTAATAACAATAATAATAACGATAACAATATTAATGAAAGTGATGAAATCGAAAATTCTCGTTTACTCAATATACTTAATTGGTCCCCATTAGAAAGGTTGACAACAAATACAACATTATCAACGACAGTACAAATCAATGATGAAAATGAACCAAAACCTAAAAATATTTACAATGCAGTACAAATTTCAATTGAACTACAGAAAAAAATGTTAAAGTAAAACCACGAAGAAGCGAAAAGTTTCTCTTTTTTGGCATGTCTTTTGTTTTCTTATTTTTAATTGCTAGTTTAAAAGCAAGGTTTATTGATGCATCCGGTCGTTTAGTTAACTATCGTCGTTTGCGTGCAAGTAATGTCTATAGTGATTTATGTGAAATGGTAAATCGTCTGACAACAATTAGCCTTGAAAATGTCACAGAAAACGAACGTAAAACATTTTTTATTAGTAATTATTATGAAAAAGATTTCTTTAAGAAAAAAAAAGCAATAAGAACATCTCTTTATTTAAGATCTTTACAATATATTGACTATTCACGGCATAGCATCAGTTAATGATATGCCTAAATCTGTTCTCGACTTAAATCAATTCTGGAAAACAACATCATATAAAGTTGGATCATATTTTTATTCAATAGATGATATTGAACATGGCATTTTACGAGGTTTGACTGATTTACCTTGTTCTTTTGTCGTCAAATTTGCAATTTTATTTTTATCAGGTAATAAACCTCACTCGAACTGTACTCAACGGCATTTTACATTCAATGATCCTCGTGTAAAATATGCGATGCGTCGCTGTGATCCACGAATTCATTTTGCGCTCAATTGTGGCGCACGTTCATGTCCACAGATTGCAATATATTCCTCAACGAATCTTGAAAAAGCTTTAAATATGGCAACAACATCTTTTTGTAATGCTGAAGTTGACATTCTACTTGAAAATGCTGAAGTTCGTCTATCAAAATTATTTCTTTGGTATAAAAATGATTTCGGTCGATCTGAAACGGAAGTATTAAGGTTACTATTTTTAAAAGTTGATCTCATGTATAATCTATCTTAGATATATATATATATATATATTCTTTTGTAGATGGATAGCAAAATATATTGATGAACCAAAACAATCATTACTTAAAACCTTACTCGATCGACAAGGATCAAAAGATGGTTTACGTATATCATATAAAATGTATGACTGGATGGTAAATGATCATGATGGTCCAATGCCTATTGTCGTTTCAACAGCAACATCTGGTCTAGATGCTTGATCATCAAATACAAATACAAATACAAATATAAATTGAATTTAAACTCTTGAAAAACAAATTTATCTATTTTTTTTTATATAATGAAAACCCGATGAGTAAATAGAATTGATTGGCAAAATGAGAAACAATAAAATATTTTATTTCTTGCTTTTGCAACTAAAAGACACAACATCAAACACAAAAAAGGACAACAAATAATGATTGATATGTGATATGTATTTGATATTTTAGTGATTATGAATTCTTCTTGAATGTGGAAGCCATATAGATATGTTTTCTCTTGCATTTATTTTGATCACATGGCGGCGATGGGTAGATCGATAAAAAAAAGTAGATTATAGAATGACATCTATACTTTTGATCATGATTAATCTGACTACTGACAAAATAAAAAACAAAAACAACATAAAAATATACAGCACCTCCACAAATATGTTTTTCTTATTTAGAACAGCAAATACTTAAAATAAATTCTGATCACATCAATGATATGTATAGATATGAAAGGAGCAAGAAAAGTAGAACGACGCTCACCGGAAGGGTTAACACTATTATTACATACGTGCATTTATTTATTTTGATACGTTCATGAATTTTGATAGATATTTAATGTATCTTGACTCGGTAAATATGAACTATTAATCATCATTGCTGGTTCACTCAGACATTGTTGTTCTGTTGTTACTATTGTTACTATTGTCTTTGGTTTTACAAGACGATATTGTTGCTGTGATTCATCAGTCGTTACACTTTCTTTCAATGGTAAAACTTCATTTGGTATATTAACAAGACAATGAAGAATATCCAATTGTGGTGGTAGAATACGTTTTTCAAACAGAATTTTTGCTATTAGTGAAATAATTAATGTTGTTGCTAGACTAATAATCATGCATAAAGTTTTTGGCGGAATATATGGACCGAATCGAATCAATGCTGGAATACTTAATGATGGTTCACCAATAAGTATACGAAAGACAAAGCCGATAATATATGCACACAATGAACCATATGTATTTGTATGCGGAACATAAACAACACAAAGTAATTGCGGGAAAAGTATGACATAAATAAGATCCGAACATAAGTACCAGAGAACATAGATTGAAGAGACAAGAATGCCAATGCCAGCAGCGGCAGCTCCAACAAGAAATATTCCAATGCGCATTATGAGTAGAACTTCACGTTCCGATGCCTATTTTTATGAAAATATTACAATAAGATGTAACTATAATAAATTGCCAAGTTAAAACAAGTTAAATACAATTCAACCAGTAATCAAATGTTTTTTTGTTTTCAAAAACATTTTAAATTTATGACGAGTACATTTAGAATGTTTTATAGTTAATGAAACAAAACAAATCAACGAATCGCCTGTAGTTTTTCTACATTAAGTTGTTACATGCCAATAGAAATATTTTGGTCAATGTTAATGATAATTACAATGAAATTTTGATTCATATGATCATAGTTGAAAAGACATTCAGTAACAATATCATAGTTAAGCCCCCCCCCCTCAAAGGTTGATTTTCGCCAAAAAACGCTCAAATCGACTAAAATTCTCAGGATATGTTGGACCTGGAGCGGGTAGTCTACGATAAAATTTTCAGCACGAAATATGCAAGTTTAATGAAGTTGTGAAGTAAGCATTGGCTAAAAATGCGCCATCTGGCATCCTAGCTATTTTGTTCTTAAGTACGTTTAATCGAAGAAATTTTCTTTTCATTCGATAGATCATGCAAAGATGCAGGTCATGACATTCTTCGATTTTTGAAAAGCCCATTCTGTAGACCGAAACATTTTCCACAAGTAAAAGTGCTTGAAAAGAGGCCAAAACATTGAATGCAAATTTTGTAGGCAATCTTTTTTGGGCATAAAAAAAAGCTTTTTCAAAAATCGGAGAACGTCATGCCCTGCGTCTTTGCATGCTCTATCAAATAAAAAAAAATTGGGTCGATTAAACGTACTTAAGAACAATATAACTAGAATGAGCATTGGAAAAACATGATTTTGAGAAAAATCGAGAAACATTTTTTTTAAATTTTCTGCAATTTTCACGCGGCTTCTGAGGAAACTGACCGAACGTGTCCTATGTAACTTTTAATTCTGCACACACTGAACGTTTACGTGAGTATTAATTAACTAATTAATCAATCTATAATTTGAGATCAAAGAGCTACTTATACTGTTGTTACTTTGAAGGGCATTGATAACCATAACTACGATCTATGCTTATCAATCTGTTATAGTAATAACCGCAGTGATTACAACTATTTCATACTATTATCCATGATAAAACAATGCATTCTATGCACAAGTAGATGTCGGCAAATATTGGGCAAAGATCAAATAAATCACTATTTATTATTATATGTATCGATCACATTAGAAGAATTATCTCGTGTCTTTACTATTAAAAGCTGCTTAAAAGTATAAAAATTCTTCAAGTTGCTAGTTTTTTCGAAAAAACTCGGAAAATCATGTTTTTTTCGAAAAAAAGTCATTTTTAACATAGAGCACATCACAAAGATGGGCAAAAATTTTTGTCAAAAAATGGTCTTTCGAAAAGAAAACTATAGTGATTCTGAAAGAGCAGAACATGGGCTATCACCCCATGGTGTTATCTCAATTTTCATTTTTTTGACCAAAATCGACCTTTTTGAGGGGAGACTTAAAAAAAATATATTCACGAACTAAATCCCTAAATAACTCTCTAATACTTTCTACGTATTATATATTGAATTATCAGCGAAAGATAAGCAGGGTCAGCTGTCTTAATTTCAACTTTCAGTAGAAAAAATTTCTAGTTCTAATTGAGCTTGTTATTAGCTCATATCTAGATTGAAATCATCAACAATTATCTTTTAAAAGAGTAACGAACTACTGATTGTTTTCCTTGAAAAAGAAGACACGAAAAACGTATATGTTGATAGCTTAAAAAGAATTCTTTGTTCGTTATTTCGTTTATAAAGAATTAATTATTTCTAACAGACTAGTTTACTCAGAATAATATTTTTCTCTTGATTAATGATTAACATCAATAATGACATACTTGATTACGAAAAACAAGTTTCCATACATTGCGAGCAAACATTGAACTAGCACTAAGTACACTTGAATCAGCGCTAGACATGACAGCAGCAGAAACGGCGCCTAATCCCATAAATGCAACAAATTTTGGACATAAATGTAGAAGTACTAATGGTAAAATTAATTTTGTTGCTTCAGGTGATGTAATATCGTTATGTATATCATAATCTGTCATGCTCCAATCTAAAAGAGAACATCAAAATATATTTAAAAAGAAAGCATCATACTAATATCGATTCAATACAGACTGGTTGACTTAGCAATAGCTCCGATAAGTACCGGTGGTATAGCCAACAAAATACATCCAATAGCAGCACAAAACGAGAGATACATAGCGTTTTTTGCTGATTTAGCTGAGAGAACACGTTGAAAGTAAACCTATAAAAAGAATTTGTTTCATATTGGCTGTTAAAATAAAATATTTTAAAAATGCACATAATCGTCCTGTCACTTTCTGGATTTCTGCATCCTATTCTACAGATTAACTTCTATAATAAAATATTAAATATATTCCATGATAATTTTGCTGTTTTGATGAAAACAAAAAAGAAATATTTGTTTCATTAAAACATAATACTATAAAAACAAAATTCGGTCATGCAATCTTGTTTATTCATGTCAATGTATATTAACTTGATGCTGTTTTTGTTGCCGACGAAAGCAATTAAAAGAAACACTTTATGATGAGAATTTTCAATCATGTTCATAGCATTTGTTCTTTTGTATGTAGAAAAAATTTCATCGACTAACCTGCCATGGTATTCCACCAAAGATGAGTAAAAACATACCATCCATCCATTCAACAATTTGAGATTTATCAATATGGCCATGCCATTCAGGCCATGTCATAATTATACTGCCAACACTTTCATTCTTTAAAGCAAATGGAACAGCTATCCAAAGGCCAATAAATATAAATCCAAGTTGTACAACATCTGTATAAGCAACAGAATACAATCCACCGAACAGAGTATAAACAATAACGACGGCCGCTAAAATAATAGAATTTATCATTTACAAAATAATATCAATTTCTTGATATTGCCTTTTAATTGATTCTATGAGATCATTCAAGATTATTCGTTTTTTTTAATCCTCTTAAGGCTCATACTTAATCATCATTTTGCTTTTGAAAGAAATCAGACAAATAAATAAATCGTAATTCTTACCCGAAATAATAATTGATGCTGTCATTGAAACATCAGTAAAAATAACGCTAATTGTTGCTCCTAACGCTGATAAAATAGCTGCTGACCAAAATACTTCTCCTAACAGTGCTGGTATAAATAGTAAACCACCCATTCTTTGTCCATATTTACGTTGAAATGGATCAAGCATTGTAACGTATCCAGCATTACGCATTGGTCGTGCAAATAATAAACCACCAACAACTAAACTAATAGCATAGCCTAATGGTGCTTGACACGCAAGAAGACCAGTCGAGAAAACTTGTTCAGCTGTTCCATTGATATATGCACCACCGACCCATGTTGCTGTCATTGTAAATATTCCTACGAGTAGACCAATATTTCTTCCTGCCAACATGATCTCTTCAGTGTCGGGAGACTTTTCAGATGATTTTTGTTTTCGTCCAGCCCAAATACCGACAATTAATATCAGAACATAAAAAAAAATAATGGCTACAAGACCGCCAACATGAACAACCATTGTTAATTTAATATGATGTTGTTAAACCTGATAAAAGAAAAAAATCAGAAAAAAACACTTCTTAGTTAGTTTTCTTTGCATTATAAAAAAAATAACATTAAAGATCAATATAAATAGTGAAAGTAAACTGACTAAAGTTTTTTTTCATCACATTTTTCTAATCGAAAAGAGTTTCTTTTTCTCTTTCCATATAGATAAGTAAATACTACTATCCAACCGGAAGTTCTTTTTTGGCAATAGGAAGTTGACTAACGAATGATAAGCGGATAGGGTAAAGAGGCAAATTCGAAATGAATAGCTCAGATGATGTTATTCATGAGTTAGTTTGAAGAAGAAAAACTAAAGATCTTTTCTTCTATTCATTGAACACAAGAAAACAAACATTGTATCTTAAACTAGTTATTTTTTAATTTTCTAGTGTCAATGACGATTGATTGAATTCCTTCTAAGATTAATCTCATCGTTTTTCTTTTGCTAAATGAATGTAGATTTGTTGTTTGCATTTATCAAATATCGAAAGTATGATAGATGAAAATGTGAACTTTCTTATCAAATTAATGTTACATTGTAGAATCGACTTATTTTGATATATTAACGAAAGAAACCCTTTCTCGCATACACTCTGTAATACACAATTAACTCACAAGCAAATTGGTCGTATACTTTTGTGTGCTGGCGTATTCTACAAGTGGTGTTGATTCCCGTCTCTTCGTTCTCTTAATCTCGATGCTGCTCTTTTCACAACGAGCATCGTGCCATTTTCTTTGTCGCTCAATTTTTCTCTTCACTAGTATCTTTTTTCTTTTTTCTTTTTCCATCAGTTTCCATTCGCTTGACTGACAGAGTTTTCTTCGTGAAATAGCAAGAATATTCATTTATTTGATTACATATTATTCATAAGAACGTTGTCAAGCGAGATAAGACCGAAAATACGATTTGTTTCGACATTTCTATTCCCACAATAACTGGTAGACGCAAGATGGAGAAAATATGTGAACGCTTTCATGCAAAATTGTCGCCCGTGATTTAGCACAGTCAGAATAATAATCATCATTTCGACTATCGCCGAAACATGACAGAAAATTCTCTTTGTTCTCTCTATCTCTTCAAAAAAATGCATTAGAAATTATAATGTATCAATGCGCAGATAGATTGCCATGCAAATTTGATAAGTATTGATTTACGTAGTTAAATTGAAGATTCGATTGAATAAAGTATGCTATTTTGAAAGCGAAGATCACAAGCAAAAGCAAATATTTAGATTTTGAAGCTAAACCACCCAGGAGAATGAATCATAGCCTAGAATCCGATGAGTTCCGATCGATTCCTACTGGAATCCGACGGAGCTCTTCGGAAGGCGCAAAGAAACTATCGGATTATGGTCGGATTCCTGGTTCCGGAATCGATATCGCATCCTAATATCGGAAACTAATAAAATCCGACAGTAGCCGTCAACCGGAACCGGAATGCTTCGGATTTCATTGGTTCCGACAATCGGATATCATTGGGAATACGACTCTCGGATTCGACATTGATTCCTCAACCGGGAATCCGACGGGATTTCGTCGGATAGTAGGACCTCATAGAATCCGTTGGGATTCGGTATCGGATTGATTCACCTGGGTGCTTATTATAAAAATTAATTTTTCTCTCATCCTATAAATCGAAGTTCAATTAATCTATTTGATAATAAAGGTTAGAGAAAAATAATTGCTTTATTTATCTAAAAATATTTCTAATTTCTTTTTTGTACTATGCCAATCGATAGACTAAAATATCATTGTATCGAATTTCAAAGTCTGTTGTAAATGTTTAATTTAGGATCAATTGATAATTTTTGCGTTAAAAGAGCACTAGCACATAAGGTGCGAGTAATTCAAAATTACAGGACCTTTTCTTTTTTTTGCTTAAACATGCATCATTCGATTTCCATTTTTACGCTGATCACGAATATCTACTCAGTTTTTCGATTTGACAAAACATTCGTGGAGAAAAACGTAAGATACTAAGAGAGTCAAAAAAACAGCAAAAAAATTGTTTTACAACAAACAACGTGTATTTCTACAATGCTACACCCACACCCTCTCACCAACATGATCTTCGAATTCCTCATGGAAAAACAAGTCTAGCAGCAATATATCATGCTTTATCGCCAATGTCGCCTCTTTTTTATCAACTGTGCCGCAGTTACGCGTAGAGCCAATTCTGCGTCGCAGTTACGCGTAACTATGGCACATTGATCGTAATGAAGATTTCTACAAGAAACTACGCTTAGTATGACTCAGATCAACGTAACTGCGTCCTAGTGATCGCATCCTACGATCTGTTGTAGGTATAAATGGCCAATTACAAATTATTCCTCCTTATTTGTAATTGGCTACACTCGAACAATAAAACTTAGTCACAGAAAATTAGTATAA